AAGGAAGGAAGGAAGGAAGGAAGGAAGGAAGGAAGGAAGGAAGGAAGGAAGGAAGGATACATTTGATGGAATGCTTTCTATGTTTTGGGACTGCATGTAAATCATTTGAGGATATGATATTATGGGGCCATAGTGCCACTTAGAGGTGACAACAGGGTCATGCAACACATAACTACTGAAAACCCTGTTGATACAACACACAAAGTAAACATTGAGGAATCCCACGACTAAAGAAAAAAAGGACACAGGCCTACCGTTATGTTAGCTATTGACCCATAGAAAGTATGTATTTGAAATAGCAATGCCTTTCTCCTTATTTGCCTGTTTTCATGTAAGAGTACACGACAAAAATTGTGTCTATGTTATTTTGCTGCCTCAGTACTTCCAAGAGCATGGATCAAAACACATTAGCCTCTACATACAGAGCCTTACCTGACTGATGGTGTGCAGACAGGACTCTCTCTGAACACTAATGTGTGAAGAAGGAGAGGCAACCTGAGGTAAAGCAGCAGCGGCAGCAAAACAGTCTGCAGGTAACGAGGACAGACCTGGACGGCAGCTGGATTTACATTGGCTTCACTCTGTATTAACAAAAGGAAAGTTACACAAAGATCAGGGCTTATGTTACAACTGTAATCAATGATAATTCCTTTATATGCACTTTGTAAAAATATTTACACCTATCAATGCTTTCCATGTTGTCATATTACAGAATTCACTGTTATATTGGGGGAGAACACAGAGGAGTGCATAGTTGTAAATTGTTGGAAAATGGCACAGCTTATACAGCCCTTTAACCTGACACTACGCAAAACCATCTAGTGCAGCAAGTAGCTTTCCAAAGTCAGTAGTTCTATAGTGTTTAGACTACGGAATACTGTCTAAATAAAATGGTACCTCTACTGGGGCATTTCTTCTCTATTGTAAATTGATTTGTAGTAACAATGGGCTGCGTGATAGAAATCTCAAGAAGCTTATTTCCATTATTTCCATGCCAGCAACAGAAAAATGGTGTGGAGTTTGCTTTTCTTTAGAAAGGAAGGTGGTGATAGTTAATAGGAAAATAACCAGAGCTAAAAACAAAGCCTCAGATAGGAAGCAAAAACATGAAGCTGTGTGCCCAGTTCACCGTCCGACAGGACAGCTACTGTGACCGTATTGCAGTAGCCATGTGTTACAGCAACTCAAAACATACATATATTTAGAAATTCTGTCACTGATTACACTTTTTTAAAGATGTTTTCTGTGCATCTGACTAATTTTGAGCTTTTATGCAAGAAGTGGCAGACCCAGAAAAAAAATCATAGGGCTGGCCAGTCAGACAGGAACCAGCGTATGAAACCAAAAGGCTTCAATACCAGTTCATGGTCAAGCTACACTTATTACCCTGTACAATGTGAAAAACAACGAGGCAAACATCTCTATTTTCCAAACGAAATCCCTAAACACAGAACAGATTTTCATGAAGCCCTTGCTAATAAGTCTACAGGGATATTTATAGATCTATGTTGTCTATACTGGGTTCAGCAATTGTTTGTTATCTTTAATCAGGTAGATGACTCCTAGATGTATGCACAGACTCATGCCTTTGTGTTCTCCCTCATAAAACAGTTTTAGATGGAAATGCTAGTTCCAGAGGTGGTAAATTACGCCCACAACAACCATTCACTTGGTTGGGATGGCCACAGGGGTGGCTTAGCCCCGCCGCTGTCAACAAGAAATACACGGCCAAAACTTGCAGCTGTAATTACTGGGAAAATTGTCTGACTGAGAATACACCTTTTTATAAAAAAAAATTAGTAAATAAAAACTAAAAATAAGTATAACTTTTCTTTAGCTTCACCATTATCTACTACTTTGTGTTGCTCTGTCACTGATATATAACTAACAAGACAAAACATTGATAATTGTGGTTGGAAGGTTATAAAAGATGAGAGTTCAAGGAGCATAACCTGAATGAAATAGTCATAATATAGTGACTGGAAAGATAATCTCGAAAAAACTTCCCTCACGTTACTTCCTCTTACCAACAGCTGTAAGTGAACCATACTGAACAGTAGATAATGTGCCACTTTTAAAAGAGATTTTCTTTTGCCCTTTAATCCACTATCTCTTCACAAACTTTCTGGTTTTATTATTTCACATTTCAAAGTGGGTACCAGAGGAGGAATTCCTTAACGTCAGGACATATATATATAAACCCCATACCTCGCGCTCTGCCTGCAACACTATCAAAGTGCTGCCACCCTGTGCCTCAGCGTGCTGCTATGTCTGTCGCCAGTGCTCTCAGGAGGTGGGTCCTTCTTTAATTAATACAACAGTGGAGTAGATCCGTGAATCGTGTCTGTAATTAGAGCTTCTGTGTATATGAGTGAGTGTGCAAGCATAGAAGATGGAGAGCATAACATGAAGTAATAAAAAATAGAGACCAGTTTCCTCTTTGTTCTTTGAATTTCCAATGTGAAAGTTATTTTTGGATTTGTGGACCGTTTACATACTTTGAACAGCTTCTGAAAAAATATGTTGATGGAATATTACTTTTTATTTGGTCAGAAAGGAGAATACCAGAACAACCAGGCTAAATAACATCCAACGACAGTTCTGAGAAATTAAAGCGAAAATATTTCAGAGTAGCTTAGGCTTGGTTTCTTTACACCTGTTTGCATTAAAGTATACATTTCTTGCTACAAGACAGTGATGACTTCCATAAAATTTTACAGAAAGACAGAGTGAGCAATTAACTGGTTAACTGTTAGGGGCGCCTCTCTATGCTGATGACACTGTTTTTAAGTTTGAATTGCATGAAAATTAAGAACAGTTTCATCAGCATAGAGAGGTGCCCCCAACATTCTGATATTCTGTTCTGGTATTTCATTATGTACAGGTACCGTTTGACAATATTCATTAAAATTTAGAGTTTTTAAACATTACAGAGAAAAAATGTGTTAAAGAATTAAGAGAACTCCCCCAAATGAATCAGAGTTTTGTTTTAAGCTTATCAACATTTTAAGGAATGAAAACTTTCCTTTTCAGCCTTGCAGTGAACATCTTTAAAATAACTAAGATCACAGATGCACTGTTCTTTAAAAAGAAAATATGTTCATATTTGTCCTAAAGAACTGTTTTGCTGCGCCCACATATTTGTCTTTTATTGACTACAGAGACAACATCTGTATTAATGTTGCTACAAGTATTTTACAGATGCTGGACAATATTTATCACAGAGCAATGAAATTTATTGAGATACAAACGTCTTTGCATGTTTTACTCTCTCTTCAGCTAGCCCTTATTGTCCACACAGTGTTGCACAAGTGTGGCAACTTAACTTTGCTAGCATCAGGCTGAAACTCTTTCTAAAATGCCTTAATTCTTTGTAGCATTGACTGACCAAACTGCAGCAGTCCTTTTCAACAGATGTTGGACCATATTAAGTTAGCAGCATCACACAGTTCCTTTATTATGTCTAAAACTTGTGTGGAGTTTATTAAAATTGAGCAAACTCATTGTCATATTCAAAGCACCAGTATGAGAGTACCCACATGCTGGGATAAGCATCACAAGATGGAAATCTCTGATCTTAATGGGAAGGAGATGAGAGATAGGAAAATTACTCAAGATAACTGGTGTTTAAACAACCCTATGGTGGTTCTAGGGAACCAAGGTGTGCGAAGAAACTATGACACACTAAACATCGCTAAACCAACACCATTGCTGCACAGATGAGTTGGGATGGATTACTGCCTTCATATTGTTGTGCACAAAGTTCTTCAATATTTTTAAAGTTGGAGCTGAAATCAAACTCATGAAGATCTCTTCAGTTCTTTAATTCAGCAAATATTGTCAGCCTTGACCGACTGTGGCTTCTTCATTTTCCTGTTCTTAGCTGACAAGTGATGAACCAGGTGTTTTTTTCTGCTGCTGTAGCCTTTCTTTTTCTAGGATCAACGTGATGCGAGTTCAGAGATGATATTCTACATAACTTGGTTGTTTTTTTTGATACTCTAAACGGTTTATCCAGCACAAGCAACCATTACACATTCAGTCATAAATCCTTTTCTATCCTCATTCTGGTGCTCTATTTGAACTTCAAAAAGATAACTTCACCATATCTTTCACTTGTATATTTTGTTAGTTTTATTCTGTTTGTTGAAATGTATTGTACTCTTTCTGTTTATTTTGATAATAGTTTAGATTTTTTTTAAACAGGATTTTCTAATTCTGTACTGAATTTTGTGATTTAGCCCTTTTTTACCCTCTGTGTGCTTATTTTGTCTCCTGTTAAGCTGCTGGAATTTGAATTTCCCTGAAGGAATTACCCAAAAACTCAAGTCTAAGATTAACTAGATCCCTAAATGGGCAGTTCCTGTTAACATGTGTGCCTTGTAAAACAGTGTAATTTTATGAAAATAATCCATAACTATCTTAGCAACACCTTATTTAGTTTTCATAATGTTACTTAAATAAGAAAATTCTTCCTATGTGCATACATTTATGATATTTAGTGATTTTTTTTTTGTATATGAATGCAATGGTGACTGTCTGTATATTTATATATGTTTCCATAAACAGCTCTGTTTAAAATAGCATTTTCTTTTTCAATACAGACTTACCAACATTAATAAAAGTGGAATAAAATATTTTTTTATGTATCCAGCCTGTTGATTCTTTAAACTTTCTGAGACCTGTAATAAGTATGGGACCCCACTGAAGTTAATGAAATAACATGCAACATAACACAGCTTCCAAAATATAACAAGCAAAACACAAAACAAACAAACAAAAAAGACCATGACTGCCAGATCCGGACAGGCCCCACCGAGCAGCCAACCAGCGGAGCGCACAGAGGCTCTCAGGACACGCAACCCCCCCGCATCAATCCATATTGATCTGAGCAGCTGCCTGGCGCTGATCGGGCCTACATGTCCTCTGCTTACAGGCCCTACTCACTGCTCTGCCCTATGAAAACACAATGCGGGCATTTTGATGGCTAGAACAGCGTGTCCTCTATCCCGTAGCGATCCACGCACCAAACACACACAACATGCCAAGCATACGCACGCACATACGCACAGGCACCCAACGCGTTTGCACAAATAAAACTACAAATATTATTCTCCCAGACAAGATCGCTTTAAACTCTGCAAGACGCCCCCCCTTCCCCACACACACCATCCGATCACCAGCCGTGGCAGTGGGGTAGTGACACGCTCCAGCAGACCATTAGTAACCCGTCCAACCAGACCGGAGCGCACCCCAAATATGTTCCGCTATTACGCAAATCCGTGGGCCTACTTCGACACATAAGATCCAGCTGCTACTGCTTGTTCTTCTGCAAGCAGGGAGAAATCTTCCACTGACCCTGTCCCCGGTCCTCCCCACCCTCTCTGCCGGCAAAAAAATAAATAAATAAAAGGTTGGGGGGAAATCCGGATTCGTGACACCGATGGAGCCCCCTCTCCTGCTGCAGCCGAACCTCGGCAGCGACAGTCCAACAGGAGGAGGGGGGTTTACAGGAGCGACACAAAGGCGTCAGAGTGATTATAAGACAGGATGGGAGGAAAATAGCAGAATATCACCAAACTCACCTCCGAATGCGCTGGATTGGTGATTTAAAGGGCCAGATCCGCTCCGCTCGCTCCTCGTCTCCACCGAGCCAAACGCCTCCCCCACCGTTACAGTGTCTGTCCACTCCTCTACCTCCCCCAGCCCCACCNCTCTCTCTCTCTCTCTCTCTCTCTCTCTCTCTCTCTCTCTCTCTCCCTTTTGATAAGCAGCTTTAACCCAGGTGTTTCTATAACATCATCACACACGCACACAGAGGAACAACCATAATCCTTCTAAGAGGGGAGTTATATCCCAATTATGTTGATATCAAGAAACACATAGGGAAATATGAAAGATGTAACAAATTTAATAATGGATGTTAGTTTTTCTGCCTGCCACATGGACGGTATTTTAGGCAGAGGCGTAGCCAAAACATTTTTACAGTATAAGGGGGGCCAGGCAATAATCAATGTAGGGTCAATCTATCCTGATCCAACAGGACAATGAACAACCAGAACATCCATAATTTCCAAATAAAGACAAACTATATTTTCCCACAACCTTTGCTAACAAATAGACGCATATACAGAATTTAAATATCAATCTAGATAAAAGGTATAGTGGATACATTTCTTTTAGGTTTGAGAAACATCTTTTCACAATGTCATTACTTACCTACTTTTATCAATAATCATTCTGCATAAAATTGATATTTACAAGTAGGCTACTAATATTAGTTTTATATATATTTACTGTAATATTCAGTGTTTTTTCCATTCACTTGATTTACGGTAATTTAGTGTATTTTATAAAGTAAAGGACTGCTTTTTGTTTTACGGTCTTTTTCTGCTGCTATTTTACAGTGTTTTACTGTATATTTTGCTGACTTTTTTTACAGTGCAAAAATTGTTTATTTACTAACTTTTATTAGAATAGTTATTTATTATCTATCTTTGTTATCTATTATTTAACTGAAGACTGGATTGTATTTTCTCTTTACCCCATATAACACAAAATATAGTTCTGAAAAGAGCAGAAATTCTGTACTTATCATCTTTAAAGTTAGTATATGGATGTGCATAATTAACCACAGTGTTTTTGTGGTCAAATAATTGTTAATCTATGAAAAATTTAAATGTTTTGAGTATTGAGAGTATTACTGTAGTATCACTTGAGAGTATAGGCTGATTAATACTTGTGTCGCAGCGAACAAAAAGATGTCCCCGCCCGCTCCGTAGACACTCTGCTGCTCCTCTCCCAAATTGTAGGTGACCGCAGACAGTGCCGCAGACAGGAGGATGGCTGGTTTTGTTTTTATGACCGCAATTCCGGAAAACGACTCGTGAAGTTTGGCCAGTTAGAAGAGTGAGGTGCGTGAGAACTCTGGGACTCATTTTCCACCTTGATCCCCTTTTTTTTTCACCCTCATGTCCCTCCATTGTCGGATAAACTTGCCCCCACTTCCTCGCTGCCCTGGCCATATCTAGACCCACAGCTAGTTCCTCATTCTCTTGCATTGTACCGTGGAATATAGGCGCAGACCACGCACCAAAATAGAGCATAAATCAAAAATGTCTGCGTCAAGCTCAGTGCGACACACTGCTGCAGGAAGCATAACTAGCCCTTATTACTGTTGCCACTGTCCCACCCCTGTCCCACCCCACTCTAGCTCTGCCCCTGATTTTAGGACCCCGGTGTCAGCAAGGAAGGGTGGATCTTTTCAAAACCGTGAAATATTTAAAGCGCAATTTCTTTTTTCAAACTTTATTACTGTTTTTCATACCTATCAAAATCTTGTCAACTCTTTAGTGAAATGTTCCACTCTTCCAATGTTGTAAACTTAACATTGCCACTATAAACATTTAATTTGTAATTTTGTCTACTGAATATAAAATCTAAACATATTGCAAAACAACACTTGCATGCTTTTCTCCTTGGTTTTGATTCGACTTAAATCAAACCGTAAATCTAGCTTCTTAACTCTATGCCCACTATTTTTTTTATATAGTTGGAATTGGTTTACTTGTGCTGTAAAAACAACTGTACTCCTCCAGAGTTCAGTACAATCTTTAGCCACGCGATGGCGCCATTTACCCGCCTCTCCTGCAGCTAAATCGGGGGAAGAGTGGGCCTCTTCATGCTCAAAGGCTTTGCACAAGCACACCCTCACGCATGATCCCTCTGTCCTCACCTAACAGAGGTTTACTCCTCTACAGACATAAAGACACTACTACAAGAGTTTTGGCTAAATGCAGACCTTTCTCTGAGCCAAGAAATGACAAAGGTTGACATTTTAGAATACCATAAATAGTGCTTCAAACGCTTGATCTGCAGGTTCTTGTTATGAACAAAGACACCAGTTTTCAAACATTTCACATATCAAATTGTCTCTTTCCATTTTCTTTCCCACACCCTTGTTCTGAGCGACGTTCAGGATTACGAATACATTTAGCGGTGGAAGCCCATGAGTCACAATGTCAGAAGTGGCGTCGACCCCCATATTTCTGTAGGCGTGTCATTTGACCTAATCGGATAAATGTTGTCTTAGATTGTGTGTAACAACAGCAGCACGTGTGGACATGACCAACTAATTAAGATCTAACAGAAGGGGGGGTGGGGTTGCGGTTTTCGCCTGAGGATGTGAAGTCCTTGTTGGACACCCCAGCAGCAGCAGGCTGGAAGACCTCTGGCTGTCAAAAGGCATCTCTGTCTCCACCAGAGTAGTCATTCAAGGCTGAGGCAGCATCCACTGTCAACGTCATACTGTCTCCATGGTGACCATGCTGGGGACAGCATGCCCCCGGCAGATGTCAGAGAGTTAAGAAGTGTGAGTAAATGAGGTACAGGAGATGGAGGGGTGGGACATGATGAGACATGAAATTTTAAAGTCTTTTTAAAGGTTTTCGATTAAATTGAGTTCTGGACTTTGACTGGGACACTGTAGCAAATAAATATGCTTTTAACTAGACAATTCCATTGCATGTTTAGGATTTGTTCTAGAAGGTGAGCTTCAAACCTGTTTTAATTATTTTCCAGCTTTTTGAGAGGTTTACAACAAGCATCTCCTGCATTTAGCTCAATTTGGTGGCCTAGTGGTTCTAGCATAGAGCTTAGAATCCTGAGGTTCTGAGTTCGAGCCCCACTCCCACAGACTGCTACTCTGGGTCCCTGAGCAAAGACCCTTAACCCCACACTGTTCCCTGGGTGCCGGACAATGGCAGCCCACTGCTCCCCAAGGGGATGGGTTTAATGCAGAGAGTTCATTTCGTTGCTCTTTACTACATTATATATATATATATATATATATATATATATATATATATATATATACTGTATATATATATATATATATATATAGACATCTTCCCATTACGTCTGACCAGATTGTCTGTCATGAAGCCACCACGTCTCAAAGATGAAATGCTCTGTTCAGCCGTGTTTGCAGGGTCAAAGCGTGGTACAAGTTCATCTATATAACACCATTCATCCACATGACAATCCAAAATGCTTTACAGGAAATAGAAAATTAACAATTAAGAAAAGGAACAAAACCTTCTAGTTCTTTTCTTCATATGTGAATCATATACTACAATACAATAAGGAAAGCTAAGCACTGCTGCTGTTCATAGCAGCTATTGGAGGAGTGTCCTTGGGAAAAAAACATTGTCTTGACCCCATCTAATTCAAGCACTTTCTTTTAAAAATATCATATGTCCCTTGCACGCCTTGTAGCAAGCTGGAAATTCAACTTCATATTATTTTCTTCCACTAATCCATTTTGGCACTTTTCTAAAGTACATAAGCTGGATTTATTAAGTGCATACTGTCAGATATACTGATTGGAAGATATCAGAACTTCCTCTGGAGTTATGCAGACTTCTTGTCAGTTTCTTTGATTACTTGTCCTCCTTGTCCTGGTAGGTTGCAGGATGTCTCATGCTGTTTCAACTAGTTCATAATGGACAAGCATTTCTCTGTGAGATGTAAGGATATTGCTTTTTAACCTGCCTTAAACTTCACCACTGATTTATCACAGATCTGTCTGCTGTTTATTACTCATCTTGTTTTATGTTGAATAGAAAAACCTCTGGTGCTTTCACTATATTACATACAGCTGTATTACACAATTAGACAACTTGGATCTATTTACTGATATTTGAATCCAGTTTTGTTGCACTCAATTTTATTTTTGGGGAATTTGAGTACATGGGGGTGCTACATGCTTTACCTATTTATAAGTTAAAAAGTATAACTATATTACTTTAAATGTTGGTCTATTAAAAAACACAAACAATAAAATACATAAAGGTTTTAACTGCAAAAAAGGAAATAACAACAAAATATACACTGCTCAGTTCAAATTTTATTATGAAAATCATTTTGCAGATTTGATTATTGTCATCTACATATATATATATATTTATTTATTTATTTATTTATTTATATATGCTAGTTTCCATTATTCAGAGGATGCATCAGCACAGTATATCTTAATAGGAAGACTATTGCTAGAATAAATATCTATACAATAAAACTGTCTTAATGAAAAAAAATACAAAAGCAAGTGCTAAAAAGAAATAAACCAATTGCCCAAGTCAAACTCAAAATTGTTGAAAAAGAATTGCTTTGCCAAAATTACAAAGATGTTTTTCACAGTTTGTGTCCTTGTTCTCATGCTGGCTGGAACACCAATAGGGACCATGCAGGAATGAAGAGCCAGAGCGACAGGAAACTACCAGACTACCGGCAAAGTCAGTGTGTCACAATGTCACGCACCCCAACCCCCCAAAACCGCCCCGTGAGAATTTGAGGTGATCTCATGAGATCATTGGGAGGTCAGCAGAGGTTGATGGGCGTGCTTTTATTTTTATATCCCTCCTGCGACTCTGAAACTCAGCTGAACAGGATTATAAACTGGGTTTTCTTGGGGGAGAGAGGCCCAATAAACCACAACATTTGTAACGTATTTCAGTTTAATCAAATCACATGTGACCA